TCCTGGAATAAGAATCCCTTGCTAAAGTTCTTATTCTCATTGCAAATTGTCATGAAAGTAGCAGGGCACTCCTGGAATAAGAATCCCTTGCTAAACTTTTAACTTGAAATTTCAATTCAAATATGGATTTGGACTTCACAATTAGCAAACATGATAAAATGAGAAGTAAAGCTTGGCATGAGAAAACTAGACAGTGGATATATGAGCAAACAAACAAATTACATACATAGAGGAGAACTACTAATTGACAATTATGAAAGCTTCCAAAACATAGAATTGATCATTCAGCATGCATCCACGAGAACTATAGAACTCTAGATTCACCCACCAGAGACTGAGAAATGAACACTTGAACATTAGCAGCACAATAAAGAACATTAAATGTCTAAGATAGGAAAGAAACAAACTGGTATATTAACATCCATTATGTCATTCAAAAACAGCATCTCATCAAAAATGCAACTTCTGTAATTGTTCCATCATTAGATTAGAGATGTTTTGAAGCTCCTGGAAAGGTAAAGAGATGGGGAGTCCATCATAGTCCACATGCCGACTGATTCTGAAGGAAGTCTACAAAATCAAAAGGCAGCCCGAATAGGGGAAACCAAGGAGAATTCGGAAGAGTCTTCTAGTGGTGGTGACATCCACTCAGCAAGGAGGCAGCATTTGAACAGTGACGCACCCTCCAAGAGAAAGAGGAAGAGGACAGGGCAGTTGAGTGTGATTTGACTGTATCCCCAACTGTTGACCTAGCTGTAGAGGAGCATTTACGTTTCGGGAAGATTTTAGAGGTGACCTTCCCAGACAGTGAAGACAGGTTAGAGAATGGTTAAAAGAAAGAGCATTGGAGGAGAAAACCAGCTGTGAAAGGTCCAAGATTAAGAGAACATTCCAGGACATAGACTTGGAATCTTTGAGCTAAGCTGAATCAGATTGGCTGTTCGATAGCTTTGACTCCCTCCTGGAGTGTAAAAGGAGAGAGCCAAAAATACAAAAGGGGCAAGAAGGGGTGGAAGAGGAACAAAAGCTGCAGTCTAAGTCGGTAGTTTTGGGCCGGGGTCAGGCCGGAATATTGGCCCACCCCAGCCTAACTTCTCCTTTTCTTTGTTTTCTTTGCTTCAAACTTGTGTGTTTACATGGCTTTTGTCTTGGGGCCATGGGCTGGTGTTGGTTTTGTGGTGTTTCTGATTTGAGTTGGTGCAGGGTGTGTCTCCTTGGCCTGGTTGGAGGCTCTCCGCTTGAGAGTTGGCCCTTTGTATCCTTTTTTTATTTTTTGAAGATAAATAAAAAAGAAAGATGCACCTTCTGTAATAACCAAAGATCAAAAGCCTGAATAGTTTTCAGGTGTTTTTCCATGAGAAAAAAAAGTCAAAAACAAAGTTGCCATGTTACATACAAGGTTTCCTCAATTGTGCAGTAGAGCTTTCCTCTTCGAACTATTCCTGTTGTTATCCACATTTTGCCTTTCTTTTCAATAACCTCAGCCATTCCCATCTCTGCATTCCAACGAGCCTTAGATGTATCTTTCCTGCAGATAAGGGTATAAAATGATTTCAGAACAACACTCCAAAAGTAGGATTTAAGTGTTCCCTCTTTTACCCTTTCCTTAATTCCAAAGCTTTACCTGAATTGCAATTTGGGGATAGAACCAGATGTATATTGAAGTTCTTCATCATTCAAATCTTCTGATGGAACTTCTAGATCAGACATTCCATCAGATGAACTTGCTAGATCTTCAATCTCCATTATGCCAGTTATTGGTCATATTTGCTATTAAGAGCATGTTCAAAGAAGTAGTTTATTATCTTTGTAGAACCCCATAAGTCATTCAAATAAAGAAACTGAAAATGACATTAAACTACCACCAACTTCAAAAGGCTCACTAAGATCATTCTTGTAGTACAACAAACAATTATTTTTTGAGTATATACGAATTTTTACATAAACATCTATTGATCTACTACCAAAATACAAATTTATATTGATCATGGTAAGAATTCAATACACAGTTTAACAGTTAACCAAATTAATTGAGGTGAGATTGTAAAAGATGAAATAACCCCTAAACTAAATTGTTTACACGGCTGAATACCCAAATCAAACTTGGCCTGTTGGAAAGACCTATACAAAATCAGACTGTCTAATAAGTTATGCTACATTCAGGTATTCTGCCAAACAGTTCATATGTTTGGTACGCATTACACCAATATATCAGAAAGAGATGAAACCACAGTAAAAAGCATCAAATTTTAAGCACTTATTAAATGTTATACCTACAAAGAGTAATGCCCAACAGCAGTGTAAACTGTAAAAGAGACCAGTTTGAAATAGGGAAATTTTATTATTAAAACCACAACAGAAAATTTTATTTGTCAGCACCATGTACTTTTAAATTAGTTTAACTTCCTTACCCCTCTCAAAATGTTTTTGCAGAGATCCCCACCCAGTCAGCATTATTGATGTTTTTTAGGTTTAATCTGCCAACATGACATCTCCTTGAAATTTTTGGATGGAAATGCCCCTTCTTTCATTTTTCCCTCTCCCCCCCCCTCTCCTTCCTCTTCTTTTTCTCCCTTATTCTTCACGATCTTGTGCTCTCTCCCCTCCCCTCCCCTCAAACTCCAACCGAGCATATTGCCGGAAGTTAAATTTTTGTTTTCACCCATTTGTTTTTCTTAGATTTTAGTCTCCCCTTCCTCTCTCACACCTTGTTGTCTGCTTGACAAGAAACTTGGTTTTCTCTCCTCATGGCAAGAAGTAAGGTTTTCTGTTCTGACTGCAAGACTCTAGCGTAAGTGCGATTACAGGTTCATTTTCTTTTTTCTTAATTCCAACTCTGCTATAGTTGGAATTTCTATAATAAAACGTAATATACAAACAAGAAACAGATGTCGTAAGCATGATACCATAAATAAAACTTAATTTCAACAAGCAATAAAATACTAAATTGCAGAAAAGATCTGTGCTTCTTTCCAATACAACACAAAAGGCAGTGAATCACTAATAATTAAATAATTAACAACCCAAGTATCTATAACCCAGCTTCAAAAATTGATAATGAACTACTGAAGTAATAACTTTTATTTTTTTAACTTAAAAGAAAATTTGATAATGAAGTATTGAAGTAATAATTTTTATTTTTTAACTTATAAGAAAAATTGATAATGAACTACTGAAGTTACAAACATATGTTCTTTATCCAAAGGAAAAAAAAAAAGAGAAAAAAGAGGCTAGTTAGCATTAAACAGCCAAAGCACATACATGTAGCTGCAGATTTTGTGTCATTGGACTTCACAGACAGCACAACAGTGTTCGGTCTTCCAAAATAGAAAAGAGTCAGCAAAGAAAGAAGAATGGCGCTAAAATGAGAGGGGAATATAATAGTAGTTCAACGAAGAGAGTAGCAAGTTGAAGTTTGGAGTTGGACTGTTGGAGGCAGTTGCAGCCTGCAGGTTCTCGAGCAACTTGAACCCAAGCCTGGGTTTCTTCTCTTGTAGCGATTGAATCGAATGGAGATCGGAGGATGATTTCCTCCTTTGTAAAAATAGCATATATCAGAAATCACGATATTGTGATGTCCCCAGCAATTAGAATTTAAAAATGACACTTTTTTTACGGAAAAAAAAATACTTAGGATCCATTTGGTTTGCGGTTGGAATGGGAACCGGAATGGCCTAACTTCTTTAACCAGTAAAGAAAATAATAACGCAAATAAAATTGACCATACCTTGACTGATGCTGCTCTTAAATGGTTGCAGGGACGAGATTATATATGTCTGCCGCCTAGAAAACTAAGGGAGTAAGGAAAAAATTAGAGTGAGAGAGAAGAAGAAAGAAGAAGAAGAAAGTAAGAAACCACTGATGGAAGGGAGGGAGAATGGGAATGGGAGAGAGATTGCCAATGACGAGTGGTGGGTAACTTCCCGAGTCTTTTTTCGCTCCTTGGAGTTGGAGAAAAGATGCAAGCATCCTAAATTCCTAAGGCTTCGTTTGTTTGAGGTGTAAATACAAAAATACACCAGTGTAAATGAAAAACGGTCAGATGGATAAATGCAAAAGATGAACCAATTCTGTGTTGTTTTTACACTGATGTACGTTTGGAAAAACAGTGTAAATGTGAGTGTATTTTCTACACTTGTTTGGAATTAACATGGGTGTAAAACTACACCCATGTTTGGAAATGCAGCCGTTAACATTTATTATTTAGCTACACCCTATTAAACAACCTCCTGAGCTGTAATTTAAGATCTGCATCCTCTGCAGATCCCCCTGCAATTGAAATTACAAACTGATATACCTAAAAGCTGACTCATATCCAGTAATTGAAAGTAAAGCCTTACCCGGCCTGCCTTACCAGTTGCTTTACTGCTTTTTCTCTCAATCTGGGGATTAAATCTTTAGACTTAAGGCATTTCCCCAACTCAATTTGAGCATGCTCCACTGGCTCTATCCTGTTTGTAAGATGATCCTGCTTTTGAACCTCCTTACTTTGAAGGTGAGAAGGTTCCATTTATATTATTTCCCCAAATTCCTCTCTCCATTCAATCACATTTTCCCGTTTCTGTTTTTAGCCTTTTTTGCAGCATAGTCTGGTTTGAATGAATCTCCACTAATGCTCCAAACTCTACTTGGAGAAACATTTTTGTAGGTTTGGTTCTGCCACCAATCTCCTTAAGAGAAAGCCTGCCTGTGCCAGTCATTGTGGGGCTATTGTGCACAGGTTGTGGCAGAGGTCTTAAATGCCATCATGTTTTTCATTATCTGTGCTGAATCCTAATTATCTGTGCTGACATTTCTGGTTTGGTTTAACCACAGAAAGATAGTTATTTCTTTGCTGTTAATTTCTGTTACTAATTATTTTTTAGAAAGCTGTTGTTACTTGTTTTCTTTGAATTTTATAAACTTTATCTAAAAGCTCATAAAAAAGTTATTTGCTCCCAGCAAACCTATGTATTCAAAGAGATGGTACTGTAAATAATGATTTGTGAAGCTTATGCACCGCTGAACCCCCCAGTACTCCAGGAAATATGGGGCGGTACCTGATTCACTTTCACGGCAAGGAAAAGCAACATGTTTCATTGGAATCTTCATTAGGTAAAACATTAGATCATGATGGAAATACTATAGGAAATATGTGAAAACCCTTTTTTTAGAATAAACAAAGCAAGTACTACAAGACCCTAAAATCCTAAACCCAAACTCCTAGTCACATGATGGAATCATGAATTCAATCATAAAAACTTCAAATGCCCATACCTAAACCCTAATTACTGCTTACCTTAATACCCTATTTCCTACTTGAAATGACAAGAAACAACTATAATCTTGCCAATTCTGATGAGTTCTGATATGCTCCTTACCTGCCTTTGCAGCTTATGCTTGCCATGTGTGTGGGACCAATGTTCTGGCCTCTTCTTGACAAGAAACAACTATAACTCTATTTCCTACTAGACTAACTGTTAGACAGGGAAATCTCTATGAAGTTCATATAGACAAATTGGAGTCAAATCAGGCTCAGATCTTTATATATCATTAACAAATAAAACTTTAATTTAATCATCAAAACATACATTATATTTTATCAATAAAAATAACTAAAAGGGACTTGGATTATTAACTGATAAATTAAATCAAAAATAATTTTCAATAAAAGTTGAACCTGCAACCCTTTAATGAAAACACAATTCTTAAACCAAGTTTGCTATATAACCTCCTGAACCCAGAATTTAGTGTGAGATGGATTCAAATGACACATGCATACACACTAAGGCTATGTTTAGTTTGACAGAAAACAGAAGAGAAACCGGAAGTTGGGATGAAGTTCTCAAGGGGTTTTGTGAAAGTTGTTAAAAGAACTTTCCTTTTGTTTTCTGTTTCCTATGCCTGCAATTTCAATTGAAGACTGATGATCAACAGAGGTCATAAATTTCAGAAAGTATAAAAACAAAGATCAAAATGATCATTTGGAGATTGCTATTACTTTTTATTTTTTTTATTTTTCTTTAAATGTGGAAGAAAAGTAACAGCCCAATTTTATATAACAGGTCTATGCAACTGTAGAAACCTACTCAAGAGAAAGCATAACTGATGATGCACAATCCGGCCGATCTTAGCTGTCAACGATCTTGCCTCTGAACTGAGTGGCAGGGACCTGAAACGGAGGGAGAAGAGAAGCTCYGGGGAGAACCCGGCGTAAGGGCTCCGAAGCTCAAGTTAGAGTCTTTCAAAGGCAAGATAGACCAGATAGCGCAAAAGTTAGCATACC